GGGGGCATTAATTTGGTCCTATTAACGGATTTCTTCTCTTATAACAAGGCGTGATGCGATGTTGTTCTGGTGCTTGAAATCGAATTTTCACGCGAATCTGTTCTGTCGTATACGCATGGACAAAGAATCATAAGCAATTATGTAAAATTACTCTACAGAAGTGTAAGTATCTGTACATATATATACATATCTAGAACAATGGAGGTCAAGTATCGAGGTTGGTGTGTTGTCCGCGGCGAGTCGAAGTACAGTTTTCACGCAGCGTAGGCGTATCGATAATTTATTCCCTGTTGTTTATTGCAAATGTTTTGACAATGCAAATGAGTGTTAGGTACCTATTTTCCGTGACGTTCTGCCGAGTGCATTATAGCTGATATTATGTAGATTAAAGTTGAGCGAACAGTAATATTATAATATCATAATAATTCAAAGAAATTCGAGCATGGAAAATAAGCTGCAAGTGTACTGAAAATTCGAATAAAATATTTTTTTTTTTTAAAGGACTGAAATTCTCTACAATATTCTACAGATGCCAAGGTACCTACCTATTGGCTATTATATTATACGCACTGCGTTAAAATATGCCGATAAATTAGGTACCTATTACAATTCGGGTGTTTAAAAATAAAAAGTTAATTTTTTAATTAAAAATAATAACATAAGTAGGTGCCTACATACATATAACATATATATATATATACTGTGTTTTTGTTTCCGACATTTTGTCACGTGCATTTTTTTATAACACCAAATGATCCATTTAACGCACACCATACTATAATTAACTTGGTCAACTTTTATGGTTGTACCTATACATATTATATCATAATATACATAATAATATGTGCGTGCATTGTTCGTACCTATATAATTATATGTGTGTCGCGCTGCAATAGATACGCGCATCCCATAACTATATATTTTTATTAAACACCTTGGCGACAAAAAAATGTTCACTAATATTATTATCCCATCGACTTCGAACAGATTACCAAAATATAACAGGTAGGTATACTGCCGCGGGAAAAATAAACTTCAAGCCGCGTTTATAATACTACACGCTGCCGAATATTTTTAAATACATCACGCCCTCGTGTTATATACTGTGTTCGAGGTGGCATAAATTCCCCGTCCTTGTGTGTTCGTTGCAAACACCAAAAACCATATATAATGTTCTGTGTGCCATCGTTCGTTATTCATATACCTATACATTACACTCCCTTATTGCCTGACGTTTAGAAAAAAGCAAACACCTTTATCATCGATCACACTACATATAACAATATTATTATTATATAATACGACACGTAAATAGTATAATAATATTATAATATGTATAATTACACGCGTTGACTATAAATAATAGTTATGTAAGACAACACTATTTTAAACTACGGCTACTAACGGGGACGTGACATAAAATATTGAAATATTACGAGTATAATAATAGGTGTTGATATTATATAGTTTTTTGATATTATCGTCGACACGGAATTAACGCATTGACGTTTAAGTGAACACCTGCACGCCGGTACGGTATAAATTGTATGATATTTTATGAAACGACGAACAGTCAAAATCTGTCTTACATGGTAGAGGTATATACAATATTGTATCAAAAAATGGACAGTTATAATATTATGTTCAACACAAAATTATTATTAAATCGCGTCATCGGTCAAAAGTGCAGAAAACGAAAGAGGGATAGATGTGTACAGAGGAATGACGAAAATATTGCGAATAAAATATTTTTATTACCTTTCTCTTATTTCTCGGATAATAAAATATAAATTGTAATATATAGAAGCACAGTGCGGGGAAAAAACCCCTCTGAAAGAAACCAAATTAAAACTGTTTTAACGTCGTGTATATTCATTTTTTATGTCATTTCATATCCTCGCAATCATAAATGTATGTAAAAAACGACCGGTGCGTTGTTCGATTCGACGAAACGATACAAATATTATTACGAAATATAGTAATAAACAATAATATAGTGATATTATACCGTGTATTCCGAAAAGTTTCAAACGTCCAACTCGTCAAAAGCATACTCATTATTGAACATGATCCAACACAAAAGCGAGTAAAAATAAATTGATAAATTATACTGTTATATTGACCGACATGCATATAAAACCTTTTGGAGAAACGACTAACGAGAGGTTATTTTCACAATACGAGATTATTACGCGTATTGTATTGGTATGAATATAATATAATCTGGGGGGGGGGGCACAGTCAACAGTTCATTATTGAAAGTTCCGAAGGTACATCAATACAAAATATACATATACGAGACGTTACTTTTAACAGTAAATACTAGGTAATGTTATCTCGAAAAGTATTGATTTTTTTACATAATTTGATGTCACATAACAAAACAAATTTATAAATATATATGTATATATAAATACTTGGTATTATTGTTTAGATTGTTATTCATTTTGTAACTTTTTATTTTTTAAGTGACAACATACTTATTTTAGGTTTTAAGCAGAGCGGATAGTGAATGTAAAGGCTTTACAACATACTTTTCAAAGAATCGGAAATAACTCAACAAAAACAGAAATATTAGCTGACACATATATGATATTTCAACCTTCACACAGCCTTTTATCAAAACCATTTTTCGTATGCAGTGATTTATCATCAAATTTAACACATTCATTACAGTACTCAACGAGGAACACTCAAAAATACAGCAAAGTGACTTAATCGCTTTTTTATAAATCATATTCAGAAGCAGAATGTTTTCTGAGAATTTTTATGAATAAAAATCGAATTTTGAGCTTGTGTGTATAGTTGATATTATGAGTGAAATAAAGTGGAACAACATTTTGCGGGATCAGGCCGGAATGCCCGTCATATCACTTTAAATACCCGATTAACTTACCGGTTAAAAGTTCGATTTGTACGTATCATAATCCTATAGGTGTGTTTGTATTCTGCTTTGAAACATGAAATTAAAAAGAATGCAAAATATTGTCGTTCTAAAAAAATTAGGCTTAAAAAATATGCAACGATCAAAATAATATCATTTTTCAAAAACGCATCGTAATGACTTCGAATTAAGAAAAAAATATGTTTATTTTCAAAGACGTTAATATTTTTCGATACGATGCGCTGTCATACTGGATTTATAAGGGATTACCGATATACCTATATGGCGTAATACCTTTAGCAGCTGCCGTGCACGTTGTTTTACTATTGCGTCGAACGCGACTTCACCGTAATACCAAGGTATATGTGTATACCGAACGTGTACATGAATATACGTCGAGGGGAAGGAATAAAAATGCAAGAGGTTGGGAGGTTGCAGCGGCGGCGTGTGTTGTTTCGACCGAAAATCGATAAATCGCGGCGGGCGAGCGTGAAAAAAAATTCTACGGAGTGGCAAATAATATTCTTGGCCATGATACATTTGTGTGTGTGTGTGCGTTTTTTTTTAACGACATCGTATTATTATGACGATATTGCACTGAACTGCATTTAAGAGCTTGTCGAAGTTTACGATTGTATACGCAATAAAACAAGGTTACCCACCGTGGAATGTGCAGAACCTAAAAAACGGGGACCGGACCAAATCTGTCTGCACATAAAGCTGGATCAGAGTTGAAGTCGAGCCGGCTCCGGCTGTTTCAATGGCAGGTCGATTGAAATACTACGTGCGGTTTCTCACTGAAATATTGAATGAAGAATAATCGTGTATATACTGTAGTATACGATATCAATTCAAATATTTTCTACACTCGCAGCGAAAAAACGTACTCCACACTTGACACTGCAGCTATACAGCTTTATTATGTACCATTATGAAATTTAAACTTAATATAAACGTAATATTAGTAACAATACCGTCTCCTATCAACCATTCGTTTAATAACGTTTTACTACTGATTGAATTCGATTGCGCAATCCAATCTCGGATTTCATTTAGCTCGTACAACCCCCCATGCACATAATACAAATACTTAAAATGTTATTTCTCTTGCATTCGTACGAATATATGTACATAATACGCGATGAATCTGTTGAAAAAACAAAATTCATGTGTGTGTATGTGTGTTTGTGTAGAGTTTAGATACATCCACATGAAAATGCGTCATCAACAGTAACTATATACATATATACGGCTATTGGCTATATACATTATATCTAATATTCTATGTACTAAAAATCTCTATTTTATGAGTTTGTTCAAACTCCGTCTCTCTCTCAAAAATAAATCACACAGTGAAGAAATTAAATGGCAACACACGGTTGCAGCGGGAAATCGTAGGTATATAAAATAATAATATGTATCGTTTCATTCCGATGATATACCCGATGGCTACATTATATAGATATAGATATCATAATAATAATATATGATATTATTATGATATTATATTGTACAATTCGTATTATGTATTTACGTCGTGTACGCTGTGCATGGAAACGTCGGTTCGAATTTGAGTGGCTTAACCCACAGCTATACGATATTATATAATGCTGCGCCATAAAACATGCCACGTGAATCGATTCGATAAAGACGTTGTGTATATATTATATACATACAATAAAACACAATACGCGCCATCGATCGGAATATTATTGACGATGAACAACCGGTGGCATCA